CCCCAAAACCCCAAAACCCCAAAACCCCAAAAGCCATACTAAATTGTAATCAAGTTAATTTGAGAGCTTATATAAACATCAAATTAACATTAGGATAAATTTCAATATTGTATACGAGGATTATAAGGAGAAAGCACAAGATTTACGATCGTTCCAGCAGCCCGAGCAATTACATAGAGTTAGCGGTCAGTATACTGGCCTAGATCAATCATTTTAGCCATAATTTTGACTTAATTGACCATTTAGCCAGTCTTATATAGAGCATTGTAGGATATGTCTTCTCCACTATTAATTTCTAAGTACTAGTTCAAAGTATTTTCAGCTTCCTTCTCTGCATAGTAGCAATGAAAGAGAGAAGGATGCATGTATTTCAGCAGTCTGGTGGAATAGTAGACTGTATTGTTTTCATCAGTTTTCTGAACTGCGGTAGTCAAGTTATTTAATAAGTTAGACACCTTTAATAAGTTTTTTCTGCAAAGAGAAGTATTTTTAGCCTAAAACGAACCATCTACAAAACCTGTCATTACACTGATAAATCTTGAAAGTGGGTCTGTTCTATTAGTGATGTTTGTAGCAGTTGCTAAACCAATCAGATTATTTGGAGTGATAGTATCCGTAGAAGCCAAAAGCCTGATGAAGCGAGACATTTAACTAAGATCATTTATTAGAGTCTCTCTCTGCATTGACTTGAAGTCTAGGAGTCTTCTCACAAATCTTGCAAGCTACTCAATCATCATGAGAAAATCTCCGTTCTGCTAAGCTGTCAAAGCCTTATCATAGATGTCAATAAAAGTGAGAATGTTACCCGCAATGTTCTGCATAAATGCTCCTTCGAAGTCTTGTAAGTTTTCAAACTCTTGGTAGTGCAATTTCCAGTTTTAGAATGAGACATCTGGAATAAAATAGCAATAGTAGATGGCATCAGGAAGATAACCACTCACAGCAGCTGTGGCATTAAATACAATCTACTCGTATGCTTCTCTATCTCTATTTGTTGTTGATTCATATTTAGTTTTGAATCTCTCAGCATCAATGGTAAAATTCCTAGCATTTTTAGCGCACGCCTTGGAATTAGGCACAAACTTGTCTGAATTTAATCCATTTAAAGCAGCAATCACATAGTCTAAGAATTATAACTCTTCAGTAGCTTTTAACTCTGGATGAGATGACAATAAATTAAAGTCTTTATTTTACACTGTTTCCACTTATGGATATAGTTTTTGGTTTTTCCAAATTGGTTTGAATAGTGGATCAGAGGCATCAATGCCAGAGACCAAAGAAGTGTTGAGAGTAATGCAAAGTAAAGTAAAGTTAATAAAGAGTAGTTGTAAGTGATTTTGCGAAAACTACTTCTTAAAAGCTGATTGTTTCATTAATAATTTAGATTATTATTTAAATCAATATTATTTAAGAGTTATTTGGCTTTAAGGGGTTTTGGGGTTTTGGGGTTTTGGGGTTTTGGGG